CGTTCTAAACTAAGAAATAAAAATTGAACAACATACTTATGATCGGGAAATTTCGAAGATATGTTTTCCACCAATAGTTTCTCAACCTTTTGATCCCATTCGGTGACGAGATCGACCTCGCACGACTTTATCATCGCATCTTTAGGTTGATTGATCTTTTCCCTGACGATCTGCGAATATTTAAATTCAATGTGTACGGTTGCATAGGCATACAAAATTTAATTCCAACACCGTAATGTTTATCATTTATCGCACGACTTCGCCTCTCCGCAAGTCTTTTATTGTTGGGATTCGAATTTATTTCCCCGGGTAGATAGAACGAGCGTTAATTTTACGACAGTCTTTTACAATCGATTTCATCATATCAGGATGATCGAATTGTACCCGAAGTTCTTATGTTAGAATCTTAATTTATTTCGTCAACAGTTTATTTCATAATAATAGCGTATTACGTTTCCAAAATCTTTAATTTTTTAATTTTTTTGTAGTTTATTATACAGGGTGTCCCAAAAATGTCTCGCAATCCGAAAGTGCCGGGTTCCTCGGGTCATTTGAAGCAACTTTTTCCTTTACAAAAATGTTCTCCGAGGCACCGTTAACGAGTTATTAACGAAAAACAGTGACCAATGAGAGGCGAGCTCGACTGGTGAGAGGCGACCGAGCCAATGAGCGGAACTGGGCTTCCTGCACTGGTTGGCTGGGCCACCTCGCGTCAGCCCGTACTCGATTCTTATTGGTCACTTATTGGCCTCGGAGAAAATTTTTGTAAAGGAAGAAGTTGCTTCAAATGATCCGAAGAACCCGCCATTTCCGGATTGCGAGACATTTTTGGGACACCCTGTATATTCGTTACAATCGACACAATAGCGTACAGGTAAGAGCCACGCCGTATCGGCTTCGACCCGGAACGCGACGAAACTGTCACGCTTCGCTCTAACATTCTTAGAAGCCGACAAAGTGCATGTTCAGGCCGATACTATTAGCTAACTGTTGCTACTGAGAAAACACAGGACACGTAATAAAATCAGCATGACCGATCACGCGTACAGAGATTCACGTGCAAGTAATTACGTTCATCGATCAATTTCCAATTAGCATTGTTACCGCGCGTTGCGTAGAACACGTTTTCAAAACAACGTTCGACGCGCGTGATTAGTATTCGAGAAACTGCGGGGGATCGGAAATCAGCCGAACGAGAGACGATGCGAAGCGATCCTGCCGCGGGGGGAAAGAAGAAAGGAACGTGTCCTTTACGTTGGGCGGCTCGATTGAAATCCGAAGCAGCAAAATCGATAGCCGTGGCTCGCTGTCAGCCAAGAATAAACTCGATGCTCGGGGTGGGCATATCCGTTTGTTGTCGTCGATTTGGTCACAGAAAATCTCCGCTTACCGAGCCAGCCTCCTTCACCAGCCGCAGCACCGTCGTGTAACATTCGTCGACGTTCGTCATGATCCGTGGACCGGTTTCAAATCGCGGAAAAGGAAGCACGATTTCAAAGTCTTGTCGCTAACAACAATAACACGCGTCCAATGGTAACGGGTGCCGACCAACTGACGTAACATTCTCGTCAGCTGGTTTTAAAAAGGCGGTTTCTTCCACCACCGAGCCTCGCGAACGAGAGCGACGGTGGCGCCGCGATGGCAGAATTGTTAAATGCACCACAAGTGGCACGAGCGTTCGTCGAAATGGTTTGGAAAACTTTCGAAATGTGTAACGTACATCCTTCGTATCGAAATAAATGTTCATCGAATTAAGAAGATAGAGGCTTTTATTTTTGCTGTATAAAAAAATTAATATACTACTACTACTATTATACTATTACTATATTATTGCTATTATATATAAAATATACTATAATATATTAGTAGTAGTAGTAGTTGTAGTATATTTTATAGTATACTATAATAGTATAATAGTAGTAGTATATTAATTTTATATATTATAGTACACTATAAAATATACTATAATATGCTATAAAAAAATTTAATGATAATAGTGAAATTAATAATAATAAAAAATGAGACAATCATTTCGCTACGAAGGAATAATTGCATTTATTTTATACATAATTGTAAATTGGCGTGCAGTATATGGGGAATCCTGGAAGTAGCGTGAAGTTTAAGGAAATTAAAGGGATGATTCCTTTGCGTAAGCATTTTATTGGTTGATTTCTCAATAAAATAGTCGTCGTTGACGTTCAATTGAATATTTATTTTACTTCGAATGAAATGAAACCTAGTAGTATGTACTACTAAACTGCTCCAAAACTGTTCTTCTTTTAAATTCAGCCTATTAAGAATACTTCGGAAGAACTATCGCATGTTAAGAATAAATGAAAAAAACATTTTCCAATATACATAAGTTTCTTGTTTTATTTACGTCTTTAATGGTCACGTACATACGTTATGAACGTGCGAAATAATTTGTTTGTAACATTTCGTATTCAACAACAGTTCGTTTCACGTTAGATCAAACAAAATAAATCGAATCTGTGAATGAATATAGACATTAAATTTCTTCGTTTGAGGTTTTCTATAAACAAATAAAAAATACAATAACGTACAGACTACGAATAACAAAATTGATGGAAGTCGTGCAACGCAATTTGAATAGTAAAAGTCTAATTGTGTTGCATTTCAGGTGAAGAGATGCACGCTTAAAAAAAATGATTTAACAAATTATCTTTAAAATAAAACCCGTATACATTGTTTCCGTTTTTGTTATTTATCGTAAAACTCTGGATTTGACGCATTTATGCCGATGATGTGTGCGTGAGATCTAAAAAACGATAAAAGGACTGAAAGAACTTAAAAATATATTTATATATTGTTCGGATAGTTAAAATTATTCGAGAATATGAGAAATTTCATTTGGAGTCCTTGGTGAAACATTTTTATCTTGCATAAAGTCTATTGTATTCTTAATATTGTATATCAATCCTGTTCTCAAGATACATTTTTGCGATGGACCCGTTCCAATGTTTTTTTTTTTTTATAGAAAATGGAAGATAGGAGATCCGTAAAAATGTGCCAGTAACTAGCAAATTCATAACAGACGGTATCGGACGTCGTTTGTTTTGAAATCTCTTAATTTCTTATTTTTTTGCTAATCGAAAAAATAGACAAAATCGTTTAGACCGATAGAAAAGTTTCAAAAATCTTAAGCGAGAACTATGAAGAGCTATAATGAACTTCGAAAGAGGGATGAAAGAATAAATGAGTACCACGATTTTCATTTAACAGGCCAATAACAATTGTGTTCATTAACGTAGATATATTTACATATATATGTATGCTCCTGCATTTGCCATATAATATACATATACTTTCTTCAATATATATCGTATGTATATATATATACATATATATTTCATTATCACACCTATAGTTGATTTGTTCCGCGAGGAATGATATGTATGTGACGCTGCTAAACGCAGCGTGATTCGTTTAAATCCAGCTCTCTAGAAATTTACAGGACACGCGGACTTTCATTATAAAGTGCGTTTGTAATCGTGCGTATACATACTTAGGTCTGTCGCGCGTTTAGGCGCGGAGGCGATTGCTTTAAAAAATATAATTTGCTAAAAATTAAATAACTCGCTGCTAGACATCTTCCGGTATGTTTCGCGGTAACTTACTCTTAATGGCTCTTCTAGGACACGGACGAACACCGCGATTAATTAACGGAGGATTTCTCGCTGATTCTGATCGCTGATCCTCGTCCTAATTAGAATCGGGTCATACGAAAATATCGCGTAGGGCATCGAGCGTGTTGAGAACGCTTACAAAAATCTCGTACCGTTCAATTAGTCGGATAATTTTCAAATGAGTCGATTATATCGCGCGAATTAGAGTTGCCTTGGTGACGAGTAAGCTTGGGTGACCGTGTCAGGTGTCGGCGTACTCGTGACACGCTCTTTCTCATCGCTAATAGTCATCGCTTAACTACAGGGTGTCCCAAAAATGTCTCGCAATCCGAAAGTGGCGGGTTCTTCAGGTCATTTGAAGCAACTTTTTCCTTTACAAAAATTTTCTCCGAGGCACCGTTACGAGTTATTAACGAAAAACAGTGAGCCAATGAGCGGAACTGGGCTTCCTGCACTGGTTGGCTGGGTCGCCTCGCGTCAGCCCGTACTCGATTCTTATTGGTCACTTATTGGCCTCGGAGAAAATTTTTGTAAAGGAAGAAACTGCTTCAAATGACCTGAGGAACCCGTCATTTCCGGATTGCGAGACATTTTTGGGACACCCTGTACAACGTAACGGCGGAGGTTAGAAAACGATGTTCACCGTGGCTCGACCGTGGCAACGTTCTCCTACGGTGTCCTTTCGTTTCACGTAGGCATTATAGACAACGGATGAAACACGAGAAACTTGGATTCCGCAATTTTCAATGTCAATCGAACGAATTACAAAATTAAATCGGAGAGGCGCTTTCTTATTGACCGATCCACGTCGTTAATAATGAATATTTCCACTCTGACGTATTTATCGATGCACTGCGGATCTTCAAAATAATAAAAGTTTCTGCATCGATCGCAAAAAGTAAATATCAAGTAGAAAGTTCCATCTTGTTTGTATAATAATCTCAGAAAGATTATAACAATAAACCCATCGTCTCGTTTTAGTATAAAATTAATAAAATCCGCTGTATATCGACCTACACGCGTTATAATTAATTCTTTGCACTCGAAGCCATTTTAACTGTAAATCTAAATCAATTTTTCTAACTTACAGTACAATAATGTCTCCCTAACTGACGCTCAGATTATGCATAAAAATGAACAATTTGGGAAGAGGAGATACGATTATTCGAGCCTTGCAGCTCGTTCTCACAATTGTTCACAATATACAACTATAAAAGCGTACCGCAAGGCTCGAATAATCGTATCTACTCTTCCCAAATAATCCACCTTCGTGGACAAACTGAGCGTCAGTTAGAGAGACATTATTGTACGTGGTGGAATTGCCCAACCAGGCGGACTTGGACAAACTCTATCGCTCTTATCTCGACTATTTCCCGCGATCAAATGGTCGAAAGATTAAATAAGAAACGCCAAGTTTCCGCCCTGAATCGTCCATCAACTATACTACTTCCGGAAACAAGTTTCTCACGCGGGAACGGTCGATGAATCGCTGTAACATTAATGCCAGGAGCCCTGTGACATTAGTTCCAAGTCGAGAGCCCTGGCCGGGGCCGGTACGAAACGGCATCGATTATCGGAAATCGTTGAGAACATAACGCGAGGCAGCAAACAAGCCGAACGTAGGATCAACGAAAACGGTGACGCGGAATCGGCGAACGTTCTCGACCACTCGTCCGACTTGCGTGACGAAACGGAGATCGATGGCTTTCCGTCCCGCGTGCTGGAAACAATCGCCGAACATGTGCAATTCATTCAAACGACATTGTAAACTGTTTCAAAAGTTTCGAAGATACTTTCATAGTGATATCGATGGAATCGTTCACGCGCCAGACGTGCGTCACTTATAAAACTGTTTTCTTTTCTCGCAACGATGTTCACAACAGCGGCCGTGCGACCCGACAATTCTCGCATCGATCACGATCGCTGCTCGGATCTAACGGCGCATACACATTCAACGAATCGGCTTCGTTTCGTAGAATTCTAAACGCGATTAGGTGCGCAGCGGCTCGCGAAAATGTCGCGAGCATCTTCTCGAACGGAATAAACTTGTTCCGAATATCAAACTTTTTTATAAGATAGTCGAAGGGCTGGCTTGGCAGACAATTCGCGAGAAACAATTCTGCGGAATTGATTGGAATAACGAAACAAACGAAAGAACATCGCGTTTCCCGACTTTCTTGCCAGAGCTTGGAATTTTCAAATTTTCAAATCGGTCGACGCAGAGTCAAAAACCACAGGCATTGAAAATTGCAACGATCTGCGGATCTCTTACGGTGAACGTTTACAATAATTTATTCGAACGGTTTGTTTACAATTCGCTTTATACGCTCGGATAAGAAAGTTAACAAATTGGTCGCTCCAACGAATCTTTTAAGAAAATCTCGCGGACATCGATTAGACTGGCTAACGTCTCCGAAAGCTTCAATCCGTTTATTTAGTCGAATTTGTAAGCGTTATGTTATGTGAGGTTGCGTCGGCGGAGTTATTTTCGCGAGCCACGTGCAATCACGCGTAGCGCGAGTGCGCGGCCGATTTTCCAAGCGTACAGTAATATCTCTCTAATTGACGCTCGAATTATTGATAAAAATGGACAATTTGGGAAGAGGAGATACGATTATTCGAGCCTCGCGGTTTACTTTTATAGTTATAAATTGTCCACAATTATAAAAACGAGCCGCAAGACTCGAATAATCGTATCTCTTCTTCCCAAATTATCCAATTTAATGGACAATCTGAGCGTCAATAAGGGAGACATTACTGTATTTACCGGCGGTCGCGCTCAGAATGATTATCTCGATCGCAGCGTCGCGCTAATCGTCCGACAGCGACAGTCTGTCGAAGCTGTCGCCCGTCGAGTCGGCGAAAACAGACGCAAAAGCTCTCGCCGCAAAAACTGTCGAACAAACAGCCGGACTGTGAAAACGAACGGTGAGACTACAGTAATGTCTCCCTGACTGATGCTCAGATTGTGCAGGAAAATTGACAATTTGGGAAGAGTAGATACGATTATTCGAGCCCTGTAGCTCGTTTTTTATAGTCGTTGACAATTTGTAACTATAACAATGAACCGCAAAAAAATTGTCCATTTTCGTGGACAATCTGAGCATCAATTAGAGAGACATTACTCTACAGTGATGTCTCCTTAATTGACGCTCAGATTCTGCAGGAAAATGGACAATTTTTGGAATAGGAAATACGATTATTCGAGCCTTGTAACTCGTTCTTTTATAGTTGTTGACAATTCCTAATTATAAAAATGAACTGCACGGCTTGAATAATCGTATCTCCTCTTCCAAAAATTGTCCATTTTCGTGGACAATCTGACCGTCAATTAGAGAGACATTACTGTATTACCGCGGAATACTAGCTTACAAATTAATCGATAAATAGTACCGTAAGTACTATAGGCTACTCAACAGAGAGGAAACGATGCTAAACGTGGAAAGATGTTCCGTTTTCTGTGACGCAGCTTCTTCGCGGTCGAATCGCAACCATCCCGCCAAGCTGCTCACAGTTTTGACAAGTCGTTCGCTCGTCGTGGATTTGCAACTCGAAGCAGAACCCTCACCGGAAGCGTGTCGGCTTTTTTGTTTCTTTTCTTTTCTTTTCCTTTGTTCGTTTGTTTGTCTGTTTTAGCCTAAATTACTACGTTTCACGAAGTTTCCTCCGATCACGGCTACGCGTCGACGGTTTTACAGCCTTCACGCCTACGGCCTCAGCTGGAAAAGCAGCTCGACGACGCTCTCGTCGGCCAACGTCGAGATGTCGCCGACGTTTCTGTCGCCCGCGGCGATCTTCCTCAGGACCCGTCTCATGATCTTGCCGGACCGGGTCTTCGGCAGTCCTGGCGCGTGTTGGATGACGTCCGGTTGGGCGAACGCGCCGATCTTCTCGCGCACTGTCACAGAAAACGATCGTTTAGCAGATCCGCCGTACTTTTTTTTTTAATAATTAATAGTAATCTATCTTAAGGCCTAGAATAAACTTTATTATTTTTAACTATAATAATATAAATTATAATTATTAACTATCTTATCGACTTTTATGGTCGATTTTTCCTCTAAGAAATTGTTCTCACGAGTTTGCAATATTTTACATTGTAGGAGAATGATTTCTGTGTATTATTTATTGTAAGTAATTTGAAGGAAAAGACTTTCGTTTAAGTTAAATTTGATTGAATCGAGTTAGTTGAATTCTTTGAATTATTCCAATATTTTATTGAAACGCGATCACGAAGCTCTGTGATTTTGTGATCCAAGTTAGCGCGAATGCTTGATGAATCGTGCAACTGGAGATGCGATCCGTTACCTTTCTTCTTGAGCTCGTCCTGGAGTTTTTTGTCGAACGTGTCACCCTTGTTGGGCGTTATGAAACAATAAAGGCATTGTCCTTTCACGGGGTGAGGTTTACTGACCACTGCCGCTTCGGCTACCGCCGAGTGCTCGGTTAACACACTTTCGACTTCCGCAGTGGACATTAGATGGCCGGAAACGTTCAGCATGTCGTCGATACGGCCGGTTATCCACAGATAGCCGTCCGCGTCTCGTCGGGCGCCTACAATACAAATATAAATACAGAGAGATATAAATACAAATATAAGTACAAATAAGTACGGATATAAGTACAAATAAGTACGGATATAAATTCAAATATAAATACAAATAAATACAGATATAAATAGAAATAAATACAGATATAAATAAAAGTAAATACAAATAGAAATAAATACAAATATAAACACAAATAAATACAAACATAAATACAAATAAATACAAATAGAAATTACAAATAAATACAAATAGAAATTACAAATACAAATAAAATAAATACAAATAAATACATATTTATTTTATCGAATAAACATGGATCAATCATTATTAGACTGCGGATTTTATGCATTTACGGCAAAATTGGATAGTCACGATTGAAAATAGTGTAATAATTAAAAGCATTTTGAAACGTCAATGCATTATTTTGAATCTAATAATATCATTAAAAAAAGAATAAAATTGCTAATTGATTTCTATTCTCTGCAATCGATACGTGCAATTTTTATCTTTTGCATAAAAATCCGTCGTCCAATCATCTAATCTAATCATCTGGTAATCGTCTTATCATCGATTTACAGAGGTCAGAAGGTTTAATGAACTTTTAGAAATTTTTCTGAGCGATACACAATTATTATAGCCACAATTTCTGTGGCAATAAATTGCATAGGCGTAGGACTAGCACCGGGAAATTCAGAGCAACCCGAAATTTGGCATTTCCGTGAGAAATTAATGGAGGAAACCGTGCGAATGTATTCAGAAACCTACGATCGACTAAAGAACGTGTGAGAACTGAGGAAAAGAACGCGCGCGGACGTCGAGCTTCAATTATCATCGTACAGAGAATCGTTGCCTGAAAAACATGGCCTGACCCCGAACAACAAATCGCACAAAATTCTCGTTAATTCTCGTCTAGATCGTTCAGATTCGCGCAATCCCTCCGTCTATCGAGGCCGCGCGTATTATCGGAGGATTCTCGGATTCTACAGATATCGAGATCCGGCACGCGCGAAAATGCCGATCCAAAAGGTTAAAGCTCGACAGATATTCGACTCGAGAGGGGAGCCAACGTTGGAGATCGACATAATCACGGACGTCGGGCTGCTGAGGTCGTCGGTACCGTCTGTTCTTGTGCCGAGCCCCAATCAGGCCCAGGAGATAAGGGATGGGAACGAGGCGATGTACCACGGCCGTTCCGTCTTCCGCGCCGTCGACGTGATCAACAACATAATCGCGCCGCAGCTACTGAAATCGCGGCTGGAGGCTTGTCAGCAAATGGAGATAGACAGCTTGCTGAACAGGCTGGACGGCACCGAGAACAAATCGAAGCTCGGCGCCAACGCCATACTCGGCGTATCCGTCGCCTGTTGCAAAGCCGGCGCCGCCAAGAAGGGACTTCCGGTTTACAGGTGATCCACGGTGATCCGCGCGATATTACGATCTTATGCTCGCCAATTTCGCTAGTCGAATATACATAGAGTAGCATAAAATAACGGAGTCGCGAGTTTAGTCCTTGAGGGCCTAGCCAAATTAAGTCGAAATTTCCCTCTTTTGGTGACGTTTTAAAATTGTGAAAAAAATGTGGCTTATTTCGGACATCGAGCCGCATATTGTAGAATTTTTTCGGATTTTTCGGTTGCGAGCTATGGTTATTAAAAATGGAAAAGCAACAAAAAATCGGAAAATTGAACATATCTCGAAAACAGAAATACGGTTTTTACTTTTTCCGACGATGACGGAATTCTACGAAAAATCTGAGAAAAATTGAGCGCACTGCTTGCGATAGTACCTTATCAGGGAATTAATATCAAGATGGCATAGTATTTCTGTTTTCGAGATATCTTCAATCTTTCGATTTTTTTGTTGGTTTTCCATTTTTAATAACCACAGTTTGCAACCGAAAAATCCAAAAAAATTCTACAATATACGGCTCGATGTCCGAAATAAGTAACATTTTTTCAAAATTTTAAGAAGTCGCCGAGGGGAGGAAATGAGCGGAAAAGCGCCCGAATCTAATTTTCCCTGTAACTACCCTCACGAACAAGTTACAGGGTTGAAATTTTGCACAGCTATTGAACGGTATAATACTCGTTAAAAAAAACTTCCAGGGCAATTTTGACCATCTTAATCGGCTAGGCCTTTTCTTTCAAGAAAGAATAAAAATTGCGAACCTGATGAAATAAAGATTCAAACGCCGCTGTAGCGACCGCCTTTGGTTTTTTAGGTACATCGCAGAATTAGCTGAGAATGCGGAACTGTACATTCCAGTTCCCTGTTTCAACATGATCAGCGGGGGAAGGCACGCCGGCAACACGATACCTTGTCAAGAATTTATGATTTTGCCCATAGGTGACATAGGAATACAGTAATGTCTCCCTAATTGTCGCCCAAATTGTGCACTATAACAGACAATTTGGGAAGAGGAGACGCGATTATTCGAGCCTTGCGGCTCGTTTTTTATAATTACCGATTGTCAATAACTATAAAAACTGAGCTGTTATCGAGCAGTGATTATGCTAAATCGAGCTGCAAGGCTGGAATAATCGTATCTCCTCTTCCAAAACTGTCCATCTTCGTGGACAATCTGAGCGTCAATTAGGGAAACAATTACTGTATTTTTATTATTTCTTGGAACGACGAATTTGAGAAATTTTTGAGAAAAAACGCCACGGAAACAGCGCTTCATTGACAATATATACATATACAGGGTGTCCCGAAAATGTCTCGCAATCCGGAAATGGGAGATTCCTGAGGTCATTTGAAACAACTTTTTCCTTCGCGAAAATTTTCTCCGAAGCTTCGTTTACGAGTTATCAACGAAAAACACTGACCAATAAGAGGCGAGCTTGGCTGGCGCGCGGCGGCCCAGCCAACGAGTGCACGGAGCCCATTTCCGCTCATTGGCTCGGCCGTCTCGCGCCGAATGATCTCGCCTCTGATTGGTCACTGTTTTTCGTTAATAACTCGTAAACGAAGCTGCGGATTGCATTTTCGCTAAGGAAAAAGTTGCTTCGAATGACCTCAGGAATCCTCTACTTTCGGACTGCGAGAAATTTTTAGGACATCCTGTATATTTCCAAACAATTTCTTAAAATATTTTTACTGGGATCTTCGACATTTTTGCGATAATATTGTACTTCGTGGACGGTCTTCGAATTTTCTGATTCGATTCGGAAAAGTATGGAACGTCGATTCGGTCTGTTATCGCGCACGCGAATTTATCAGGAGCTGAAAGCTTCGCCGACGCGATGAAAATGGGGACGGAAGTGTACAAAGTGTTGGAGAAGAAAATCGCGGCGGCGCAGGAAATAAATCTGCCGCTTTCGGTCAGCGACGAAGGCGCGTTCGCGCCTGAGTTCGAGGAAGACCGAGAGGCGCTTCTGCTTCTGGACGAGTCCATCAAGGACGCGGGATACGACGGGAGAATCATGATAGCGATAGATATGGCGGCCAGTGCCTTTTACAAAGAAGGTGAACACAGTTATCATGTTGTTTTTTTTTCTTCTTTTACGCTCACGTACCCATTTTTTCTTCCAGCAGATCGATGGTACGTTGCGTGAACAAAATTTTATACGGAATATTCCTACGCTGTATCGTAGTAGATTATTAAATCCAGTAGATCGAATAAATCGTGCAATATACTTCAGACAAATATCTGCAGAAATTGACAAAAAAGAGATATATGTAAAATCGCTACATGATTCTATATAGTTTTTTGTTTCAATAATTGAAGGAACAATAATTATATTTTTGTATTCTCTATTAGATTAATTAATCGATTCATTTTATCATTTTATCATTTGTGTAATTTTTATCACTTTTATCATTTGATTTAATTAATCAATTTTAATTTAGATTGATTCGTGTAATATTTCCTTTCACAATTATATCTTTGTATTTTACTAGATTAATTGATAATTATTATAATAAAAAAGATCAATTTTAATTTCGATTGAAATTAATGTAATA